GCACCATGCTGTGTATAAGGTTTGTTTGCTGTTGTTGTTTTTTCTTCTTTATTTCTGATTTCGTTTTGTTTGTGAATTATCAACTTTATATGATTATATTTTTTTTTAATTAATTTTTTAAATTTGAACATTTCAAGCATCATCATAATTATTATTGTTATTATTTTTGAACTTTATTATATTATTATTATTATTATTATTACTATATTATTATATTTATATTATTAATATTATTATATTATTATTATTATTATTTATATATTATTAATTATTATTAATATTATTATTTATAATAATAATAATAATAATAATAATAATATATATATATATATATATATATATATATATATATATATATATAATATATATATATATATATATATATAGTTGTATGTATGTATGTTCATATGTGTGTGTCTGTGTGTGTGTGTGTGTGTGTTTGTATGTGTGCGTTGTACGTGTGTGTGCGTGTGTGTGTGTGTGGTGTGTTGTGTGTGTGTGTGTGCGCGCGTTTACATACATACACACAGCCACACACATTCCGTATTCATATGAACCTCATTTTAAAATATATATATATATATATATATATATATATTATAATATATTATAAAAAAAAATTATATATTTAAAATTTATATATATTTAAAAAAGCCCCCCCTCCCCTCCAGGGTGCACACGAGATCGCTCAGCTCCTCATAGAAAACGGAGCGAACGTGAACGCCTCCGACAGGCACGACCGCACCCCCCTCCTGCTGGCCTGCTACAGGGGGAACCACCAGGTAAGCCTCTCCTGCGGGTTGTTCTTCTCGGATCTTCTCTCTTATTCCTTCCTTATGTCCCTCTCCTGCGGGTTCGCCATTATCTCTCATTATCTCTTTCTTTTTTATCATTCCTTTCTCTTATTCTCTTCCTTTGTCCCTCTCCTGCGGGTTTTCTCTCTCTCCTCATTATCTCTGTTTTTATCATTCCTTCTCTCTTATTCTCTTCCTTTCGTCCCTCTCCCTGCGGGTTCTTCTCTCTTCTCCTCATTATCTTTTTTTATCATCCTTCTCTTTATTCTCTTCCTTTCGTCCTCTCCTGCGGGTTGTTCTCTCTCTCCTCATTATCTTGTTTTTATCATTCCTTTCTTTATTCTCTTCCTTTCGTCCTCTCCTGCGGGTTCTTCTCTTCTCCTCATTATCTCTGTTTTTATCATTCCCTCTCTCTTATTTCTCTTTCTTTCGTCTCTCCTGCGGGTTGTTCTCTCTCCTCATTATCTCTTTCTTTTTTATCATCCCTTCTCTCTTATTCTCTTCCTTTCGTCCCTCTCCTGCGGGTTGTTCTCTTTCTCTTCATTATCTCTGTTTTTATCTCCCCTTCTCCTTATTCTCTCCCTTCGTCCTCTCCTTGCGGTTTTGTTCCTCTCTCTCCTCATTATTCTTTCTTTTTTATATCCCTTCTCTTATTCTCTTCCTTTCGTCTTCCTGCGGGTTCTTCTCTTCTCCTCATTATCTCTTTTTTATCATTCCTTCTTCCTTATTCTCTTCCTTTCGTCCTCTCCTGCGGGTTGTTCTCTCTCTCTCCTCATTATCTTGTTTTTATTCATCCTTCTTCCTTATTTCTCTTCCTTTCGTCCCTCTCTGCGGTTGTTCTCTCTCTCCTCATTATCTCTTTCTTTTTATCTTCTTCTTATTCTCTTCCTTTCGTCCTCTCCTGCGGGTTGTTCTCTCTCTCTCCTCATTATCTCTTTCTTTTTATCATCCCTTCTTCCTTATTCTCTTCCTTTCGTCCCTCTCCTGCGGGTTGTTCTCTCTCTCCTCATTATCTCTTTCTTTTTATCATCCCTTTTCTTATTCTCTTTCCTTTCGTCCCTCTCCTGCGGTTTCTCTCTCTCCTCATTATCTCTTTTTATCATTCCCTTCTTCTTATTCTCTTCCTTTCGTCCCTCTCCTGCGGGTTCTTCTCTCTCTCTCCTCATTATCTCTTTCTTTTTTCATCCCTTCTCTCCTTATTTCTCTTCCTTCGTCCCTCTCCTGCGGGTTCTTCTCTCTCTCCTCATTATCTCTGTTTTTATCATTCTTCTCTCTTATTCTCTTCTTTCGTCCTCTCCTGCGGGTTCTTCTCTCTCTTTCCTCATTATCTCTTTCTTTTTTATCATTCCTTCTCTCTTATTCTCTTCCTTTCGTCCCTCTCCTGCGGGTTGTTCTCTCTCTCCTCATTATCTCTTTCTTTTTTATCATTCCTTCTCTCTTATTCTCTTCCTTTCGTCCCTCTCCTGTGGGTTGTTCTCTCTCTCCTCATTATCTTTCTTTTTATCATTTCTTCTCTCTTATTCTCTTCCTTTCGTCCTCCCTGCGGGTTTGTTCTCTCTCTCCTCATTATCTCTTTCTTCTTTATCATCCCTTCTCTCTTATTCTCTTCCTTTCGTCCCTCTCCTGCGGGTTGCTCTCTCTCTCCTCATTATCTCTTTCTTTTTATCATTCCTTCTTCCTTATTCTCTTCCTTTCGTCCCTCTCCTGCGGTTTTCTCTCTCTCCTCATTATCTCTTTCTTTTTATATCCCTTCTCTCTATTCTCTTCCTTTCGTCCTTCGTCCTTTTCCTCTTTGGCTCAGGCACCTTTTCTGTTTGTTGGGGCTTCGTATGCTTATCTTCTGTTTGCCTCTCCTCAATTTATCAGTATTTCTAACTGCTAAGCTTTATCCATCTATCTATCTATTCTACGTATCGCTTTTTGGTTTTAATTTTCTTGGTCAAAAAAAATTGTATACTTCTTCTACGTATCCATTTTTGGTTTTAATTTTCTTGGTGAAATTTTTTTTGTATACTTTCGTTTCGTTGATAGTAATAAAAAAGATTATATGGTCAATTGTATCGATCTACAGTAATGAATATTACGATGATAACAATAATGAATTTAATAAAAACTAGTGATAACGATGATGTAGTGATATGATGATGCAAATATTGATAAGAATTGGATTATAATGAAAATGTTAACAATACTCGGTGGATTAATGCTTGCTGATAACCATGGTGGGATAATGGGAATGGAAATAACTACAATAAAGAAGATTGTAATAATAATATCAATGATAGTCGGACTGAACATTGTGATAATAATAATGTTAATGTTTAAAGCAACATTGATTATGATAAATATGACAATCCTATTTATAATAACGATGACAATGATATTAGATAACGAAAACAACAGGGCATAATAATCACAATACTCATGATAATGATAATAAGGATTATCATAATAAGAGTAGCAACAATAGCAACAAAATCAAAGATGAACTAGTAAAAAGGACATTAGTGATATCAACATTGCTGTTACTAGTAATGATAATAGTTACAGTGTATTGATTCGACTATTACTGATACAGTCACACAGCTAATGGTAATAATGAAATTAATTTTAAAAAACGATAATGATCACACTAATAGATATCAGAATTAGAAAATAAATAACATTATGATGTTACATTAAAGAAACCGATGCAATTGCAGCAGCAACATCAGCACGATCAGTGACGATAATCATAATAGCAATTATGATATTTGATAATGATAACAATAATAGTAATCATGATATTTGTAACAATGATAGCAGTAAAGTAATAGAAATGGAGATAATGATGATAGTGATGATGGTAATGACAATAACCACGGGAACAACAACAAAAATCCTGATGATAATAGTGATGATAATGATGGTAACAATTACAACTTATCCTTATAACTGATGATGATGATTGTAGAAATAAACAAGGAATTAAGATTAAGAATAAATAAATGTCTGATAAGATGGGAGATACTAAATGGTAATAAGAAATAATGTAATAGTAATAATATAATGATAGTCATAATGATAACCTTCATACTACTAATGATAACAACAGCAACATTGATAGCAATGATAATGATGATATAATATTGAGATAATGATGATAATGATGTAGATAATATAATAATAATAATATCAATGATAATAATGATAATAATATAATAATATAATAATAATAATAATAATAAATAATAATAATAATAAATTGGTAATAATATAATGATAATAATAAAATATAATAATAATAATACTAATAATAATAATGAAAATAATAATAATAATAATAATAACATATAAAATAAAATAATAATAATACTTATATTAATGATAATAATGACAGCAATTAAAACGAAAATAGTCACAAAGAGCACCCAGAGCGCGCATACCTCCGCCAGGACAATAAGGTCACAGTTGCAGTAAAAAAAAAAAAAAACAAAAAAAAAAAAAAAAATCACACCTGAAGAATTACATTAAAATCACCTCTTTCTCAAGTACACAGGTGACGACCACGTACTAATAATAATATATAATAATAATAATAATAATAATTAATAATAATAGGTGCTAATGAAACCTTTAAATGAATCGTGGATCCGGATAATGATCCAGATAAGCTTCTAAGTTGGGCCAAGTTCTCTTCATAACTTTTTTTTTTAATTATCCTGTTAACCAACTAACCAGTAAACAAACAAACTAACTAACCAACGCTACGAAAAAAAACATTTTTGGCGGAGGTAATGGAAATAATAATAGTACCAAAAATAGCAGGAACAACTGTAATTGTGCTGCTACTAATGAGATAATGCTAATGACAAAGACAGTAATGATAGCAGTAAAATAATGATAATTATGAAAAATAATCACAATAATGATGATAATAATAATGATAATCATACTGATAATAATATTAATAATGATAATAACAATAATGATAATGATAATTATAATTATACTAATAACAAGAATAGTAATGATAGTAATGATGATAATAAAGGTAATTATAATAATAAGGAATAAATAATGATAATTATAATGATATGATAATAATTGTAATAATATTAAAGGATTATGATATTAGTAATAATAACAATATTTATATTGATATTAATATGATTATGATAACAATAATAATATGATAACAATAATAATGATAATGATAATGATAATAATAACAATTGATAATAATAATAATGATAATAAATAATAGTAATAATAATAATATAATAATAATAATAATGATAATAATAATAACAATAACAGATAATATAATAATAGATAATATAATAATTAATAATAATAATAATAATATAATAATAATAATGATAATAATAATAATAATGATAATGTTGATACTAAGTAATGATAATGAAATTGATGATAATTATAATGATAATAGTAATAACAATAATAATGGTAATGATAGAAAATATAATAGTAACGAATATAATACTAATGATAATAATAACAATAACAATAATAATGATAATAATGATAACATTAATAAGAGTATGATAATAATGTGATAATATTAATAATAATAACAATAATAATGATATTAATAATAATAATGATAATAACAATGCTAATGATAATGATAACAATAATAATTACGATAATAATATTGATAATGATAATGATAGTAACAACAATATAATAATAATAAATAATATAATAAAATGATAATAATATATAATAAAATATGATAATAATAATATACTAAAATGATAATAATTAATAATAATGATAATGATATGATAATATTATAAAAATAATGATAATAATAATAATACTAATAATGATAATAATGATAATAATAATAATAATAATAATAATAATATAATAATAATAATAATAATAATAATAATAAAATAATAATGATAAATGATAATAATAACAATAATGATAATAATAATTAATAATAATAATATATAATATAAAGATAATGATAATCAAAATGATTATGAATAAGTAATATAATGATAATGACATAATTATGATGGTGATAATAAAATAATAATGATAATAAATAATAATAATAATGATAATAACATAATGATAATGATAATATAAAATTTAATGTTAATAATAATAATAATGATAATAATGATAATAATGATAACAATAATGATAATAATAATAATAATAATAATAATAATAATAATAATGATAATAATAATATAATAATAATAATAATAATAATAATAATAATATAAAATAATAATAATAATAATAATAATAATGATAATAATGATAATGATAATGATGATAATAATAGTAACAACCATAATAATAAAAACAATAACAATGATAATAGGAATAATGATTACAATAGTAAAATGATAATAATAAAATTATGATGACAATGATACTGGTAATAATGACATCAACAACAATAAGAATAACGATGATGATAATAATATTAGTAATGATGGTTATTGTGATTATAATAGTAATACTAATGATAATGATAATAATAATACCAATCATAATAACAATAACAATGGCAATAATGATTATAATGATAATAATAATAGTAATGATAATAAAAAAGTACTACTATTATTACTTTTATTACCACTGATAATAATAATGATAATAACAATTATCGGTTATTAATGAGAGTAATAGTAATAAT